ACAGCACACTGTAGGGATAATCATTTTTAAATATCACTGATGCAACAGAACATTTCTACTAAAGAGAAGGGAAAGGCACTAGCAGCCCACATGCATTATAAAGGCCATTGCAAAGTCGCTGTATAGCCCAGTTATATGGCGCAAAACTGATTTAGTCTGACCAGAGGTAGCATGCAGTGAGTAAACAGGTGTGACAGGGAAGGTCAGACAGTGAGTTTAAAGCAACAGGGGGGCAAACCTCCATCTGTTTGTGTCTGACCTTCAGAAATACAGCGAAGGTGTTCACCTGTGAATAATCAGTGCAAAGATAAAGCTTCTGCTCCTCCACACCTTCACCTCCCTCCAGTCTAAACAACAGCAGCTTCTAACATACTCAAAAGAAAGCAGATGGGGTCCCATTACTGCGTGGGTTAATGAGTAGTGGAATGAATCCGATGTCAAACAGGTAACAGCTTCATTACTGTTACCATGCCAACATTCCTTGAGGGGCTGAAAGGGACCTTACATGTCTGCTTATGAGGCTCCCGATCAGCCAATAGTATGATTTATACATGTTCCCTGTCATTGTCCTGTGGCTCTGAAGCATGTCACCAGCTTTATTGGTACACTGTGCAGTTTGATAATAATACATATTGAGAATGTAAGCCTGTTGAGTGAAGCAACCGCAGCCTTTGATGGAATCACAGTTGACTTTGCTCTTACTGGACCCCTGTTTTCTATTTTAAGGTGGCAGTGTCTACAACGCTCGGGTTTGTTATCTGTGTAATAAGAATGAGATAAAGGGATCCAATAAATGGCCAGAGCTGAGGACACATTGCTGAGGGATTGGCTGCTATCAAATGACAGGTGACAAGGCGATTCCATTTCCTAATATTGGACTGTGTCTGTGCGGTGCACCCCTTACCGAAGAGACAATGGTACAAACCTTTGAGCAGCAGCGGCAAGACAAAACGGCCAGAGTCAGCGACAATTACACCGGAAGCTGTACCACCGTGACTTCAAAATAAAACAAATCATGAACATTTGGGGAAAAAAATTCAATCAAAAACTACCAGTAATAATAATAAAATCATAATTTTAATGCTAATGAATTAAATGATAATATAGGCTGTAGTATCTATTTTGAATGTCTAATGAGTGAAACTTAAACATAGGCTCAGTGGTATTATTGAAGCATTATTAACATTGCATTATGGTGGACGGTGCGTTTTGCTGTGATAGGCCTGTAGCTTCAGGTCAGACAGAAGAGAAGAAGTGAAATGATTTAACATTTTAGACCTCTAGAGCAGGATATAAAACATTATATAAAATCATACCAAGCTATAGAAGAAGAAATCCGTTTCTTTTGGGCAAAATATCCCCATCACTGACAGATCTTTATTGTTGCTGTTATTATTTATGTGTATGTTGTTTTCTGTGCACAGTCTTTTACAATGTGATCTATCTGCTGTTCCACTTCATACTTAGAACTGACGCTTCTTTTCCTCCATCTTCTCTCTCCGCGACATCTTTTCTGCTTTTACTTTGAAGTAAACCCCTCCGCTTCCTGTATCCTCCGAGCTGCGTGCGGGCCCCTTGACGCTCCTCCCTGTTGCTGCTGGGAATGAGCGCACGGTGAAGTGCTCGGTGGTGTCGGCGCTGAGCAGTCACTACGCCGCGGGTCCGGCGGTGTCAGCTGGAATGAAGCAGTGTGATGAGTCGGCCAGGACGGAGCCCCTGACACCCCGCACTCTCTCTTCTTCGTCCCCGCGGAAGATGGTGACTGGCGGCTAGTTCCAACTTCGGACTCCTTGGCTTTTTTCCCTGGCGAAGCGCGCTGAAATCACTTGGTGAGTGGCCGTCGTTGCGCACATACACTGTCACCTGTTCTGCTCCACAGGTAGGACTTGAGACTGGCGGCTGCTGCTGCGCGCTGACGTTACCGAACCTCTGAAACAGCCAGAGGCATGAGGGCTGGAGAGGACGCTGCTGGGTACAGTAGATTGCAGGCAGGCAGGCAGGGAGGAATCAATGATGCATGCTGGAGCTGTTATCTGCACTGAAACTGAAAAAAAAAATAATAATAAAAGAACAAACAACAAGTCATGATCATGTGACCAACCTATCTGCCAACACCAGTCCTATCTGGCATCAGCTGCAGGCTTGTTCAGATGTAAAAGCAGGCCAGCTCCAGCAGCCTACCTGTCACCTCCATATGGACTCTCAGCATTGTGTGCATCAGCTGTTCTATTCAAAATGCCACTGGCTCCCAGCAGAGAGCTCTATGGCAGCTGGATTATGTGCTCTGGTTTATTAAAAGGTGCGTAAACAGTGACCTTCAGATGGTGAGCGTGATATGGAGAGCTGAGTCTTAAACATTTAACATTTGTAATGTTACTACTACTGAGAAGAATCTGTAATTACACCATACTTTGGGTTGTTTCTTCACGATGACTTACACACAGTCTAGCTGGTTCAGTGAGGATCCGGTTTTGAAGGCCACGTCTAAGAGCCATTGGACTGAATTGTCTGCCAGTGTTCAGTGTTTTAAATGTGACCACTCTTCATTTATAAAAATAGACGTCATTTTCCACATAGAGCATCCTGTGTTGCAAAACTCCCAACTGGCTGATATATGATATAATGTGTTTAAGGAAACTGTCCCTGAAGTAAAAGCAAAAATGTTACACTGCATGTGCGTTCATGTCCTTATCCTTAGGAGAGCCTGTTCCACGTGTGTGCAGAGGCCTTGGACAAGCCTCAGTCTCTCTGCTTTGGTGAATGTGGAGCAGAAAATGTTTCCAAAAAAGCACCAAATGTAAAAACCTGTTAGGGCGTCTGTCTGTGTGTGGTTGTTATAATCCTGGCTTTCTTGAATGTGCACAGTGAATCATGAGTGGGATACACAATGTCAAATGGAAAATGAAGCCAGTGTGTGCTGGGGTACACAGCAGCTCCTCCCTGTTTTTAATATTCATTTTAGCTCCGAGGCACTTCTTTTAATTTGGTGATTTCACCCTGTGTTAATTACACATCCATGAGGTCATTTTTGAAAATCCGACTCATTTCTTGGCCTTGGCTCAGCGGCTGCTGTTTTTACTGTAGGATGCAGTGATCGCGTGTCAGTCAAACAGTGTGGGCGATACTAGGACTTACTCCTCCAGTGTGTAACATTTAGCATGATCTACTGGGAGAACTGGAATATAATATTCTTAGGTGTTTTTGTTTGTTTGTGTATAATCAGCTGAATATAGGAATTGCTGAGTTGTCCTTATCTTAGAATGAGTCGTTTTTATCTACTTGTTTACTTTAATGGATTCTGCCATATTGGACCACCATATTTTTACAGTAGTCCAGAACAGACAAACTCAACATGGTCACAGTTTCACGGCCCCTAGATGCCACTGAATCCTACGCACTGGTGTATCTATTGGTGTATCCTCTATATAGGAGGATCTACTGGAACATACTATTCATGTGTCCATGTGTTTTTATTAGTGTATAATCAGCTGAATATAGGAATCATTGTGTTTATGTTACCTTACGTTTTTGTCTACAGAGGGAGCGGTTCCTCTTCTATGGAGTCCACCATGTTTCTACTGTAGCCCAAAATGGACAAACCAAACAACAGTTTTTAGTTACCGTAGTTTCTCCTACATGCTTGGTGGAGATGAGGGGTTTCCCTTGTATGTAATGTGCAATCTCACTGCTAGATGTCACTAAATCCTACACACTGTTCCTCTAAGTTACATTCAATGTTTTTTGTTTTTCTTTTTGTCACTAGGGGGCAGCAGACACAACATTGACATATTCTTACCTTTTATGGTTATTATGTTTGCCTATTCACACTTCCCTCAGACATTAGCATTCATATGAAGTTGTGTTTATCTTATCTGTTTCTGGCCGCCTGAAGAACATTCACTTTACTCCTGTTTTGGTCTCCACCAACTCCTGAGAAAAATATCTGGCTCCTTAGCAAACATGCTAAATGCTATGTGCTATGTTGCGTACAGTGGGATTATCTGAGTTTTTTGCTGAAACCAGCTGGGAATGAGGATAATGAGCGGTCAGAGTAAACCAACAGTAGAAAACAGTAGATTTCCGGGCGGACAAACCAAAACAATGAGCTATAAGAAGCTAAATAGAGCTGAAGGGAACTGTGGAGTTGGGTGATCATTTTCTGTAGGTTTATCAACTTTAACATTACACAAAATAACTTGATCCATTGTAGCAAACAAATTACTGGTGAGTGCAGCTTTAAATTGACCTAAAATATAACATTATATAATAGTATTAGATACACAATGACCCAAACAGCTCTGAAGTTTGCAAGCTACAATATGGGTGTAAGATAAAAATGGGAAATCTTTCTAATGTATCTGTGTAATTGTTTTAATGATGCAGCAATACTGTTCTTGTGGGAATCCAGCCAGTTCTGGTACTATTTAAAAACTCTTAGTTAATGTTGTGTCATCGGAAGGGAAGGTACATTGTTCACACCGTTGTCACAGGCAGCTCGCTCGGTTCCGTCACCTGCTGGGTGAATCACCCCACTTTCTATGAAATGTTCTTCTTCTGCATCCTGCTCCTTCTTGGAAACCAGGCTTCATGTCACTGCGAGTTATACTATGATGGCAGACAGATGATGACATCGCACCGTGTGCCCTCCGCCCACGCGTTCTGATTCTGGAGTCCCAGAGGTGCCAGACGTGACTGGCTGCTCAAGCCTTTATCACTGACCTCCTAAACAGCCTTATCTTTATCTTTCACACGGAACAAAGGCTGCCACTGTAATCGGTAAACAGGCAACTGCTTTACCTATAAAATCTGTTTAATCTCCAGTGACCTGAGCAGCTACTGAGCAGCTTATCTTCATCGGCTGAGCCAAGACAGACACATAAACTCTGTATTCAAGTAGAGTTATATGTATGATACAGATATTTTATTTTTTATTTCTTTGGCCTTTATTGGATAGAGACAGCTGAAGATTGACAGCAAAGGGGGGATGACATGCAGGCAAAGGCCCCACAGGTCGATTCGAACCCGGGCCGCTGCAGCAACTCCATATATGGGTCGCCAGCCCTACCCACTGAGCTAACCGGGCGCCCAATACAGATATTTTTGACTTAAGTTTTCAAAGACTTACTGTTCCACGCCATATGGTTTGTTACATGCAAGGTTAGTCAAATATACAATATTTTGTGTTGCACATCAAAAAGCTTAATAAATGACAACTTTGGTGCTGAAATAAGATTGATTAATTAATGAATTAATCATTGGAAAATCATCAACAATAATATAGATAATTGATTAATCATGCAAGTCATGTGTCGAGCAAAAATGCCGAACATTTACTGGCTCTAGCTTCTCAAATATCAGGCAGTGCTGCTTGTCTTGACTATCTTCGGTTTTCGGACTATAAAGGTGAGCACTTTGCCTTATTAGCATCAATTTGACCGCAGAACAACAGCTATTGAGTTATTTGTCTCCAGACCCCTTTCCTCTTCTGCTTGTCTTCAAGTCATACTGTACAGGCTCTTTGCGCATGTTTGCCTCAGTTTGCACCACTCAGTTTCAACCCAGCTTTAGAGAGACAGAACGGGCAATGTTGAGACATCACAATAAGCTTTGGGTGATTTTAATGAAAAAATGGTTTGTTATAAGCAACACACTAAAGTAAGCTTTCAAAAAGTGAAGCATTTTGCTATGAATCCCCAATCTCAGGTATTGTGTAGCATCAAACAACTTTCAAATGACAGCCTGCCCTGCTCATCCCTGCTGCAGACAGAGTGTTTGAGATGAAAAGAGGAGGAACACATGTTGTTTTGGGCCCTTTTTTACATCTGCTGTTTGCCATAAAAATGCTTTTGAAGCAAAAAAGACAAGTGCTCTACACTTTTGAAATGTGTCTTTTTGCAGCAAGATGAACGACAGCCAAGTGCCGCCTGTCACTTACAATTTTACCACCCGGCACCAAATTCAATTCCCATTGATTGCGGGCCTCGCCACTTTGAAGATGGAAACAGTAATTTCCCGGGCTAAATTCTAGTCATTCATTATTCCTCTGTATTGACCAGTGACCTATAAGAGTTTAGTCCGAGCCGGTGCGTCTGTAAAGCCCATTGCCCTTTACTGTGACCTATGGCTGTCTGCCATTTGGCTACGGCGGACTTTTATCTCTCTGCCATTAAAACGTGCCAGTCAATTCTTTCCCCACCTGGGTCTGGAGGACATATAAGACGCCGGACGTGTTTTGCAGAGATGTAAAGGACGGAGGATGATAACAGGAACAGACGGGACCCGTTTCCTAAAGAAGCTGTGTTAGACTGTTGTGACCTCAACCTCTCTGTGCCCATTTTCCCAGCAGCCCAGCCTTGACGAGAGGCAGCCTAACTCAATAGACTTCCCCCAGCATGCCTCTGCCCGGCTCTGTGGGAAAGGACTGTGGTTGGTCAATGTCATCTCTCCTGCTGCCAGCCCCTCCATACTGATTAGATGGGAAGGGAACTGTAGGTGAGATGGGATGGGATCCTGTGCAGAGACAAAGGGTTTATTGTAATTCCCAAGGCATCCATTCAATCCACAGATCAGCGACCTTTTCTGTGTATCAGACCACACAATGGAATCAGCTGCTCTGCCCCCCCCCCCCCCTAATTACCGCGTGGAATTCCGTCTGCCCTGGAAACAGGCACGCATCTCAAAGCGGTTTGGTCAGTGACATCACCCCATCTGAAAGAGCTTTCTGTCTATTTGGTAAAATGGAGGGAGCTTAAAGGAGTGAGAGGTGCAGTTGCCTGTTTGATTGTATTGTCAATCCCTGAAGATGCCTCTCTACGGCTGCACCTGGCAA